TCCACCATTTTTTAAAGTCCTTAAGCTTGTATTTAAAACTTCTTACTCTAAGGATTGAAGAAGACTCACCCTGTGCTATAAAACTTGTCACTGCGAAGGTTACTGGTATCTAAAAAGCAGTTAAGAAGCAATTTCTGAAAGTGATTAAGAAATGAGGCTTGGTGAACCTTATGTCCATATAGGCTACTTTACAGCTGTGAGCTTGGTTGAAATCCCTTGACTCCCAGCTTCTCGACTCACAAGTCGACCACAAAAACCTCAGTTCCTGCCATCTATTCATGAGAAGCAGCTGTCCAGAGTACATGTGGGCGATCTCACAATCTCTCCTTTTTCCGGAGAGACTTTGCCGGCCAGTAAACACTATCTGGCCATCGATCTTTGCAGTAATATTGTCCCCACTCCTTCGGGGATGTCTAGTTCACCATGAATCCTCACTGAAAGTCCTTTGTAGGACTATACTATCAACTATCTATACTGTATTTATCCAAAAGAAAGAATCTCTGCATTTAAGATGACCTTGTCAAGAGAAGTGTAGCTAGGGAAAAAAAATCAGCGCAGGCAAAGGACTAGTGCAAAGTCCAGTTTCCCCATAGGAACAAACTCCAGTTGAAAGCTGAGATTCTTCCCAATACTAAAATGTGTAGATATCACACACACACACACACGTAGATAGATTAGAAATGGATTTTTTTTTTTTTTTTGCAGAAGTCTCACTCCAGAAGAAGGCAGGGCCAAAACAAACAAAAACTATATTAATTGAGTAATGACTAATTAAAATGGCCTGTAATAAAAAATACCCCCTTTATTTAAAAGAAAGATGCATCACTGCATTTTCCAGCTCTTCTGTTTCACATATACAAACTACAGCCAGAAACAGAAAGACACAACTGATACACATTTCCCTGGGAGTAGTTAATCTTCAGGCTAATCTTGAAAGACATCCATACTGTTCTTTTCAGCAAGTATACAAAGACATATATCATCATCTTGCATAAGCAAAGAACTATACATTTCCATGGATTTCCCTCTGGAATTTGGTATTTCCATTAACCTACTGGAATTAATATAAAGGTATGCTTACTATAGGTTTACATTGGTTTAATGTTGCGTAGAGTAGAGGTAAATACACTTTACATGCTGCATATTCTTAACTGATTGGTTTACTGTTCTGTGGTTTGTTTGTCAATTCATGTGAAAGTAGCAAAGACTATAAAGGTGCTCCAAGCTAGGTTTCTTGCAAAATTTCAAAGGATGGCTATGTATGTTGTGAAACTTGAAAAATAGTGAGGCTGTTCTTTTTCTTTCCCACTGAAAGCTCTATGCCCCTCCTCCAAAAAGACTGTGACTGGAAGAAAAGAAGAAAATCCTCCTTAACCTGGTTTGAAGCTAAAGTATCAGTCACAAAAGTATACCCATCTCCCTTTTCCCTTTATCCTTATATAAAGAGCTTGAGGAATTGTAACAATTTCCAAGAACCCATCTGAGTTCTCTAGGACTGCCAGACATCTAAGATGGCATCAAGGCTTCCATCTTCCAAGGCTACTTGGAATGGCCAGTAATTTTCACAAGGCAAGGTTCCTGTTAAAGAAGAATTACCTTTGTTCTGAGTGTATAAAAATAATTCAGTCTTACTCAATGCTAGTGGTATGCAAAACATGTTCAATGCAGACCCCTGGTTTGTAGTTTAAAACATCCTGATCTGAGTTTCAAATGGTTGTTTGGACCATTTTAGAAGTTTCCCAGTTCAATACAACCGGGGCAGCTTTGAGACTGGAGTATTTCCAGTAGGGTCAAAATAGCATCAGAACACTTCCAGCAAAGTTTAACAACCCATTTCAAACTTGAAACATCTGTCATTGTTTTTAACCATATAAAGTGTGTCAGTGCTCCATAATTCAGACTCTTATTGAAGGCTTGTTCTGAGATGCTATAAAACCACAAAAGGAAGAGCAGAAGAAAGTCAAATTCCCTGCCCTCTAAATTTTTAACTTTTTGCCACTTTATTGTTGGGGATTTTTCCTAATAGAAGCTAAGAAGCCAAAGTAGGAATATATAAAGGGAAATCTGCTTCACAAGTGGTTTGATATTCACTATGATCATCCACTTCGGCAAAGAATAATTCTGTACACTGAAATTTCACTGCTTTTATTCCTTTGCAGATATATAACAAACTGAAAAATGTGCCACATATGACAGTCTACATGAAAGAGGATATCCCTGCTAGATTTTATTATAAAAAAGGGAAATTTGTATCTCCTTTGACACTGGTAGCTGAGGAAGGATGGTTCATAGTAGAGGTAAGTCCCTTCTTAAACCAGTTCTTTATAAACTGTGATTCTCCATGAACAGTTTAGCAAACCTGCTTGCTGCTGCAGAAACTAATTTCTTTTGGATTACAGTACTCCAACAATTGGGAGACCCCGTCTAAATTTGCCTTGGTGCCTAGGAAACTCAACCTACTCCTCCAGACTATATGGCAGTCATTTTATAAGTGAGCCTGTCACCTGCTATCACAATTCCAAATGTGTCCATGGGGGACCCTCTACTGTACAGGAACAAATCACCTAAATCCTGTGGTGCAGTTCTAGAAACAATAAAATGGACAAACATAGATGTAATGAGAAAGGTGGGTTACTACTGGTGTCAGTGTGTATTAACATTTCATGATTCCAATAAACATAAGTTATATAGAAAAATAATATTTTATTGACAATAGACAGAGGTTCACTATATGATGGTATAGGTCCATCAGTATCTGTGGGGGGTGTGTGTTTGTGTATCAGATTGACAAAAGCATTTTGTGTGTGCATTGTGACACTAGATGCACATATGAAAAGGGCAGAACTTATTATGCTTCATAGGCCTGCACAACCTATACCCATCCCAGTAAAACATAGCTTATCAGTTGTGATTTGTGGCAATCCAGCTTTTCAGTAAACTTCCCAGATTTAGTAGTAACTTAGTACTGTATTAAGTTTCTTAGGGCCCCATTGAGTCACTTGACTGGGCTGGTTTAGCAGAGTTTCCTCCACCCTCTTAGTGGTAGATGTCCCATTCAAAGGTGTGTGTTCAGTGGAAAAGGATAGCTATTACAGAGAAAAAAGAAATAGAATAGTTCTTAAGAAAAGAGTGTTAACATGTTCTAGAATTTGTTGATCAGGGCGTTCTGATCATTATCAAATAAATGTGTGGTGTGTTGGTCAGAGGTGATGTTGCCCCTTGCTTTCCAAAAAATGCTCAGTGAAGGGATCATTTGTTTGATTGTGCTAGTGATAAACATGCATAATTTCAATGTTACTTACTACACATAATTCTCTCTTCTGGTGAATGTAAAACACATAACTTCAGCTACAGCCAAGTTCATACAAACTGACAGCAGAAATTCCCTTTATTTTTTTTGCCATGCTGAAAATTCCATGAATGATGCCAACAAATCCATGACTGACTAATAGCTTAACCTGTCAATGATGACTTCCAATTTACAGTATTGGTAAACCTGAGTTAATGATGTAGTAAATTGATCTTGGATGTTCTTTCTTATTTTTCTCAGTTTCTATTTGTGCTACAATCTTAAAATAGTGGGAGGACTTGGTAGCTTCAGTGACCTTGAAAGCAATGGGACAAGGAAGTCCTGGTAGGGTTACTTTTTAAGAGTGAAATTAAAGGTAATACACAAAGGGGGTGAAAGCAAGGAAAGCCCTCCAAGCATGAGGGAACCCAACTACGTAGGGGCAGAAACTTCAGTGTTTTTTCCAATGGTAATGTATGCTTGGGAATGCTAGACACTGAGAAAAAATAAGAGAAGGATTTTGAATTAAGGAATTGGAAATAGTTCCTAAGTTTCTAAGAATATCATGAACAGGAAGAAGAACCAATTAGTCCTTTTTGGACCAACAAAGAAAGGCTGTCTGTTTCCTTGAAGTGATCATCAGCAAGCATGAATTTACATGCTTTGGACATGTGAGCTTCAGGCTTCACTTAATACCCAGGAATAAATCTAATTTTTCTTGGGATTCAACCCATATTCAGGAACTGGCTTACAGCTGGCAGATTGTTTTCAGGGATAAGTCAAGGTGGTGGGCATTTGTCCATACAGTTGGCATTGGGAAGGCACAACTCAATAACACATAGAAATATTGGAGGCAGTTTGGGGGTCTTTCTGGATTTACAGCTCCTGCTCAGTGAGCAGGTGGCTGCTGTGGCCAGGAAGGCCTTTGCACAGCTTCATCTGGTGCACTAGTTCTGGCCTTTCCTAGATTGAGAAGCCTTTCAGACAATCACTCACACCCTGTCACTTTGCAGCTTGACTACTGCAACGTGTTCTACATGGGGACGCCCTTGAAGACCACCTGGAAATTTTAACTAGTACAGAATGCAGTGGCGTGGGCAGTAATGGGTGTGCCTTTGTATGCCCATGTAACACCCCTGCTTCTTGAGCTGCACTGGTTGCCAGGTTGCTTCTTGGCGGAATTCAAGGTGCTGGTTATTACTTATAAAAGCCTGGTGACTTGGGGAACCACCTATCTCTCATAGTACCTGCCTCGCCGATTTGATCTGTCAGGGTTGGCGCACTCAGGGTTCCTCCAATTAAACAAAGCCATCTATTGGGACTCCAGAAGAGCACCTTCTCTGTTGCAGCACCTGCCCTCTGGAATGAGGTTCTGTCTGAGATCTGGGTGGTGTTCACCCTAGTGGCATTTCAGAAGGCCTGGAGTCCTGGCTCTTCATCCAGGCTTTTGGTGAGGGTGGTTGAAGGCTCTTCTGAGTAGGATGTGTATGTTTTTCATTGTTGCCTGGTTCTGTTCTCTCTCTCTCTCTCTCTCTCTCTCTCTCTCTTTTGTTTCTTTGTTGTTATATTATTCTATTGTTTTTTCTGTGTTTTACTTTGTGAATCACCCAGATACATTTGGAGTTGGGCAGGATACTAAATAAATAAATAAATACTAAGGAATTATCACTGTAATAGCATTAAAAGCGACACAAGTAAAAACAAAACAAAAACATCGTAAAACATAGGTAGGATCCCCTGAATATCCAGACATTGCCATTTAACTAATAGTCATCATATGTATTAAATAATTGAATGATTCTAGCTGATAACTAAAATGTTTCCTTTTCTCTGTTAACTATGGCAGCCCTCTGAATAAGTAGAGAACAGACTCCCTCAGCTGAGTGCAGGGCCCCCTCCTCATAAGGCTGCTTTGTTGAATTTAGTTCCAGGAAGCTAACAACCGGTGGTTTGTACATGATGAAACAATGTCTGTCATCCTTGCTAGCATTAACTTATGGCCTGCCAAGCTTTACCTAATTTGCAAACTCTCTGGAGCCAGAATGCCGTAATTCAAGTTAAACCTTTCAACAATAGTAGATACTGCTGTTGGTTCAGTTAGTTGTACAGTATGTCAAAGCCAAGAAATTAAATGTTCTCTGTTCAGCCTGAATCTGTCAGTACGTAGTGAGAATGCTGCCCCAGAGCACAGCGGCTTTCCTTGTTGGAGCTGTGGTTCAAATAAACTAGAAGTTTTGGGAAAGTATAAATAAATAGTGATTCCATGATATGTTACCAGAGGCATTCAGCTATTCAGCTGGGGTGGTTGACTGAAAAGGGGCCACCTTTCTTTGTTTAGATTATGGGGGATGGCTAGATAGGACCCATTTCTAGGTGGGGTGGGTGTGATTATGCTAGAAAAAGTTGTACTTGCCTGACAACCACCTTAGAAGCAGTCGGTGAAGTGAGGGCCCTGGTGCAGTTCATAGAGTCTGAGAAAATGGGAAATGGAGACCTTGAAACACCAAACAGAGAGTGATTATCTAAGTTATGGAATCCAAAAGGCACCTAAAAGAGATGTTGTAATCTCTTCAAAAATGATTGATGACGTATAAATCCAAAGAAGCTTGGGCCATTTCTAATCTCCTAGCTGCAGTAAAAAAATAAATACAGTAACATGTGAAAATGAAGTAAAGCACATATAAAAACAAAGGATGGGACATAATGTGAATATTCGTAAGTTAAACCAACCATACACTGGAGCCTTTATCTGAGCTCCCTTGCCCACCAACCCTCCCTTCTCTAACTGGTCCCAGAGTATAGTTTTTTTCACTGATCTTTTAAATCAGGGTTCCTCAACCTCAGCAACTTTAAGATGGGTGGACTTCAACTCCCAGAATTCCCCAGCCAGCCATGGGGTTGCATGCTGGCTGGGGAATTCTGGGAGTTGGTCCACCCATCTTAAAGTTGCTGACGTTGAGGAACCCTGTTTTACATGATAGACATTTTTAAAAGATTGCTGAGTATTAAATAATCTATACAGCATGATCTTTATAAATGACCATCTGGACCAGATATTCTAAGAACTCTACTTTGCAATTATATTCTGCTTTTTTGTGGAGTATGTACTTCTCTTTTGTTTGATTTCTGTTTAATTCCATCAATAGGAATTGGCTGGATTAGACAAAAACCAGAGAAACCATCATATGGTTTGGGACACTATATAAACTACAAATATGTATTCTTTTAATGTCTTCTCTTTTTTGCCTTATATATTTTCATTTTTACCTGTTTTTCTCTTATCTGACTGCTGGCCTCATGGCTATAATAAAGGTTTGATAATGAATATGCATCTTCCTTTTAAAGCTGTCTGTGCTACACAGCCACATTCATACACTGTGCTAAGCCATAATGCGGTTTATTTGTTACTGCCTCAATGTGTTAACATAAATTGCTGGGTACAGCTAAAACAATCCTGTTTTCTGTTACTCAGAATAAGAACTGTTAAGTAATATTTTTCCCATCAGGTTAGCTGTCTGCAATGATCCATATTCTAGGTTGGATTACCATAACATTTTGTATATCAGGTTGCCTATGAAGTTTCAATCATCTCCCAAGTTTCAAACAGTGTAAAATTTGGCACTGAGGATTCGGAATGAATTGAGTCCTCTTATTATGTCAAGATTGTATCATAAGCTCTGGAGGATCATCTGCTGTGTTACACAGAGGGATATACTGCAATGATTTGATCATTTTATACCTAAAATATATATTAAATAGTGTTTTTTCTCACACTGAAGAGTAGAGAATCACTTCCATTTTGGGATAATGGCACTGGAAAACGAGAAGCTTGGCAGAATGGATGGCATGGCTATGATAATGAACTCATGGATATGAGAGGGATCTTCCTTGCATATGGACCAGGTAGGACAACTGAAGAAGAAGAAGATGACAATAAAGCTTTTTTTTCTTACTTTCTTTCATATCTCTATCAAATATGGGTCTTATAGCTAATGGACAGATTCAGATTTTCCGGGAAGGTAAAGAATGTGGTTTCAGAATTAATCCACTTTCAGCTTCCATGTCTCATTTCTAAGCGCTTGGCCAAGTGACACTGTCCTTGCTTTGCCAGCATGATGGCCAGCCATCTTGTTAAAATTTCTGGTTCAGCAGTTATAAGCCATTAAAAAGTTACAACTAGTAAAGTCTCTTTTTGTTAATGCAGTTATGACTTGCTAGAGATGGCAGAACAGGAAGTTGCATATCTTTCAAAATTTGAGATTTTAAATTATTTAACTCTGACATCACCCCAGACAACATTAATTTCTAGAGTCAGAGTTATACAAAGTATTAAGGCTGACCATCGACCTAAATCCATTTTCACCATAATCCTCAAGCACTTTAACTTAACCAAGTATGGAGAAAGACATTCTGTCATAACTGGGACAGTTATGGTAGCTGTTCATTTACAATCAAGTTTACAAAAAATTGATTGACTTGAATATCTGTTGTTACTATTACCAAATCTGTAAAGTGAGTCACATTTCAGATGCTGCCATATGAGGAGATATGAGACATGTAGCCAGCTTAATTAATAGAAATAAGTCTTAGCTGGATTTTATCCCAGGATGATCCAGCACAGCAAGGACTGAAAAATAGCTGGGAGGAAGCCAAGTTTTCACATGGAATTCTTCCAATTAGATTAGGATGCCGGTGAGAAAAGGAAAAACAGCTTGCAAAGGCCAACTGAGAGTCAGAGATGTTATTGAAGGAAACAAGAATGGAGATAGCAGATAACAACAATACTGTAATAGAAAACAAGACCATAATCCAACCATAGGTTATTGTTTAAACAATTAATTTTGGACGTTCATGTATCTGCCCAATGTTAGCAAGATCCAGTAATCAGGACTGGGAATTCTATCTTGTTCTCCAAGAAACATGTGAAATGGATTAGCTACCGTGCAGTTTCAACTTATATTCATTTGCTTTTGTCTGGGATTACCTGATAGAGAAAGAATCACTGTCACACCCAGGACATGCTAATGGCCTGTTAAGGGTTTTTATGGGTATCATGGAAATAAGTAGGTAGTTGCTCTACTGATTTATAGTTGCTGCCAGTTATCTAAAGCATTTTATTTAATTCCAAAGTGAAGCAAACATTAAATAACACGGTGATGATATTAAATTAGATATTAGTGATACTCAGCTGCATCTTTTCAGTTACATCTGTTATCATGAGAGCCTTGCAGATTCTAAATTAGATCTGGATCTGGTGGTGGGCTGCACAGGGGAAAGAACTGAGCGGGTTCTGTAGGTGGGTGGTGTTCATGGGCAGGAAATAGCAAATTTGTCTGCATCTGGGTGTAGAGGCAGGACAATCTCATTCAGGGCAGGCAAGCCTCACTTGCTGATTACTGTAATTCATGCCAGGTAGGGCTGGTTTCTCCATGCATGGAAAGAACAGGTGGAGGGCAAGATGTCTGGTGGAGGGATTTGGCCACTGTCATAAATGCATGTGCTGCTGATTTGCTAAGGGGGGAGGTTTAAGGTTGAGTTATTTTACTATAAATTTCCACTCCCAGGATAGATATGACATGCTCAATGATGCTACAGATAACATTCCTCACCAGCTTCTTGTTGTGCTGTCCTTTGGCTATTCTCTTGGCCTCAACAGGTCACAATTTTTTTCATTGTACCATTCATCTTTTGTAAAACCTCCCCTCCCCATCCCCCAAATTAAACCAGGTACAGTCACAGTCTACAAACATGCTGAAAAGATGCTTATTAACTTTGGCACTAAGAAGCTCATGATGGGGCTCCTGCATGATTTATAACTACTGTGATATTATTACTGATGTATTTTATTATTTTATTTGATGTGCTCTTAGCTTACTATATGTCATACATTATCTAATGTATTCTTAATTTTACACATCCCCTGGAGATACAGTGCATGACAGGCAGCATGTATACTTTTTAAATAATAAATGTGCTTGCAGCATTCTGGTGAATACTGCTGGTCTAAAATGCCTCCTTGTCTTGTTTCAGATTTCAAGTCTAACTTCAGAGCTGCACCAATCAGATCAGTTGATGTTTATAATGTTATGTGCAGAATTGCCGGAATCCCGCCACTGCCAAACAATGGATCCTGGTCGAGAATGGCCTGTATGTTGAAAGATAATGCTGATTTGGCCCCGTCGTTCCAATGGAGCAGCTCTGTGCTGGGACTAATTCTGTTTGTGTTGTTTGTATAACAGACCTTGTAATGCCAGTCGCAGTACAATGTCAGTCAGTGTGCGTAGTTTTTTTTTCTCCCCATTTCAATGGCAGCATTAACAAAATGCTGTTGGGAGAAAATGATATAAATTCATTTCTGAAATCCTGGTGCCAAGTGCTTGGAAGGGCTATAACAAACAAACACAAGTATGGGCTGGTTCCACTAGGCACACGTCCATTACCAAAGATAGTTAGCACTGTTTCCTTCTCCTATCATCAGCTCCAGAATTAATCCCCAGGGGACTGAAACCAGCAATCAAGATGCACCAACTCAAAGCAGACAGATCCACTTGCTCATCACATCTTTTTTCTAGCAGCTTTCTGCAACTGCATTAACTAAATTTAGACCAGCTTTTCACAGTCAGACACCCCAAATGATGTGTTATTCTACGCTGTCCATAGTTCCCTGACAGCCTATTTTGTGGGCTAATTTCCCAGGGATGGTGGGAGTTGGAGTCCGTTGTATGGAGAGCATGGGGTGGAAAAATTGACTTAAATTACATTTTAAAAGTTCTAGGTGGAACTTATGCACCCCCAAGACTTTTCTTAGTGTTCATACATGGAAGGTGGCAGCCTGTAACCGAGCAGTAGTGCAGGATCCACTGCAGCCTCTTGGCAACCTCTCTAAGACGACCTCCAGTGAAGGAGAACTCAGCACTTCCTGCGGCTGCCTATTCCAGTGGCTGACAGCTCATACAGTCAGGAAATTCCTTCTGATGTCTAGCCTGAACCTGCTTCCTTTAGTTATTCCTTTTCTTTGTGACAACCCTTCAGACAGACAAGAAGTGCTATATCTCCCCTCAGTCATCTCTTCTGTGGGCTCAACATACTCAGAACCTTTCAATGTGTTTCATGGAGTCACCAGCTGCTGAGCTCAGATTGAGGGAGGAAGAAGAGAAGAGACTGACCAATGTGGTGTAGTGGTGAAAGTGCTGGCCTTCAGGTTCTAGTCCTCCCTTAGGCATGGAAGCCAGTTGGGTGATTCTCTCAGCCCCAGATTGAGAAAACATCTACTATCAACCCACCCTGGACCAGCATGGTAGATTATGGTCCATAATCTTCAATGAAGAGGCCTTCAACTTCCAGGGAATTGATTTGGGTTCATCATCATCATCATCATCATCATCATCATCATCATCATCATCATCTCTTCCTATTAAAAATGAAATATAATTTACGCTATTTAAATTGCTTTTCTATGTAGCCTATTGCCATAGGTAACTAAACATTTCCTTATATTCAGGCCATTCAAACAAAGTAAATGTGCTATCTAGACATCAAATTCTTCCCTTAGTTCAAAGGCAAGGTTAAAGTACATGCTTTAGGGGTATGAGATACCAGCATGAGGAAAATCCAAAGTAGAACTGATATCAACATAATTACTGTTATGGCCACAAAAACCTTTCATACATTGCACTAGGACCACTTTGAGAAAAGATGTTTTGTGGGCAACTGTTCATGCAAGAGCATTGGTTTATTTCACCACCTATGCACATAAAAATCCAGACAGAAGCATTCCATAATAACTAATAAACATTGATGTGTGCTTTTAAATCTCAAGTGAATCATCAAATCAATTGGAAGGGAGGAAAAGAAAAGCAATCTTTTGTTATCTGGCTATTGAATATAAAAGGCAATTTAGTTCTTGTTAAGCATTTGCAGTAGTTGGAAAACAAAGATTTATTGTTTAGAGGTCTGCATGTTATATTAATAGACCAGGCTGTTTGAATTCTTTGGAGCACTGTTCCCTCCCATTAAAAAAAAAACATTCAAAACCATCATTAAAATGACTGAACTGTAAGTTTCAATTTTACAAGACATGCAAACGGGAAGAAACAGAATATGCCAAGTACAGTAATCTTCTATATTCTTGTGATCAAAAAGTTTCATTTTCTCTTTGTCTCTGTCTGACAACATCCTTAACCTGTTTATTAAAACTCTTTTAGTAATGGTTGGGTTACCCCAGATTGCACGTTGGTGGAATAGTTTTGAACTGAGGCATTGTTTTGAACAGTGCACATAGAAAAGAACTGCCTTTATTGATTGCTACTAGGCACAATGATTCTGAGGCAGAGTTTTCAGACTTATTTGTAGAGTGATTATGAATGTTTGCAGATTTTTAGCAGGATAGCTGCATCTTTCCCCCAAATATGAGGTATTCATAAACAAAAGAAGAATAACTACTTGGATTGATGGACTGTGGAAGAAGTCAGTCTTTTTATGTCTTTTGTATTGATTTGTGTGTTGATTTTTTAACAAAATCAGCAATTTATATGATCATACCTTGACATGCATAGACAGTAAATAAATGTGCAGTTTTTAAAATATGGATGGGTGGGATTGGGAGAGGGAACTTAGAAAGGCACTGATATTTAGAATACTGATGAACTACGAAAGAGTGAATATTGTAAAACAGGACATGCAGGGTTCTGTTCTTTCCAGCCTAACAGAAGGCAGGAAAGAAATTATGTAAAGAGGGTCAGGACTCTGTCCATCTGTCTCTCTTGTCTTCTCTGAAAACTGAACAGTACAGATCCAAATTTGGCAGGGGAGGAGAAGCTGGCAAAAGAAAGATCAAGTTCAGAAATGGGCCAGATCAGACTGAGGGTGATAAAAAAAAATCAGGAAAAAAATTGTTGCTGAGTGTTCTAGACCTGATATATGTAGCTGCCCTGTACTTTCCACACACAGATGCCTAGAGGCAAATTCACCATGTTACACACCACCTTACACAGAAGAAAATACTAGTGTCTCCTATAACCACTGTTTGTAAAGAGTTTGGAAAGAAATCCAGAAACCATGCTTTGCAGGCTTTCCCCATTTGTTAAGATTGTGAAAAGTCATCCTGTGGAGAAAACATTCTGCCCACCTCATCCCTCCCCCCACAACCTACGTCATTTTTAGCCTCATTACATTTTTCATCAAGGTCAATAGCCCTGTTACTTATTTCTTGTTTAGATTTATATGGCTGCCTCTCTTGCCATAGTAGTTCTGATTGGTGAAAGAAGTTTAAAACAGAAATCACAATTGAGAAGACCATTAAATCATATAACAGCCAACGGTAAGAACCACAGAATCACACCAACCAGCCTGGCTTCGCTAATTTCCTGACCACCTGGGCAAACAACCAAGTTTTCAGCACTTTCTGGGAGGGCAGAAGGGTTGGGGGCCAATCTGACCCCAAGTGGCAAGGTGTTCCAGAGGGTAGGCCCTGTGATAGAAAAGGCACCCTTCCTGGATCGCACAAGATGGCATTTTTTAATTGATAGGGCCCAAAGCAGGCTCCTCCTGCCAGATCTAATGGGGTGGGCAGAGACATGGCAGTGTATGGGGGAGGGTTTCTCAACCTTGGCAACTTTAAGATGTGTGGACTTCAACTCCCAGAATTCCCTACCCAGTTGAAGTCCACACATCTTAAAGTTGCCAAGGTTGAGAGACCCTGGTGGTCTCAAGAGGGTAAGATGGTGGCCACCACCATACAGGCAAAACCCCGACCCTTTGATATTCATCACTGTGCATATAAAAAGGGGTGGGTCTTTGATTGCATCCTTGTGGTCACTGTCTTGACTTTTTTGACCCACTCCCTGCAGACATGCCTGGTATGGGGAAATTTGAAATAATGAAGTAACTCTTGCCTTTATAGTTGACATGACTGGGATTGCAGCAAATAAGATGGGAAGCTGTTTCTTCCTGGGTAGAAAACTGTTCCTCATAAGCTTTAGTTTCCATTTTTTAGGAGGTAAACTTTGATTGGAAATGGGTGATTACCTTCAGACTCCAGGAGCTTCTTCATAGGAGCAATTTGTCAGGACACATATAAATAATCACCTCTCAATTCCTTGCTAGTCATTTCCCCTTTGTGGCTATGTTTTGCATTTTCAACAATTGGCATGTTAAACGCAGTTGGATGTTTTTATCTGCCCCTCAGTCACTGTGGTTGTACTCCATTTTTGATTTAGAACCCGTTCTGGTACCTGGGTTGAGATACATGATGGGGTTTGGGGCAGAATAAGAGGTACAATCTGGGAAGCTGTAGAAGACAGTGAGTAGAGGAATAGGACAATCTTTCCATTGCTATGGCTGGTGCCAGGAAATATAGCAGATTTATCCAATCTCTACTTTCCAATGCAGGAAGAAGAAGTCACCCCAAAAGTGCCCAGGAGAGGAATCTGCCCACTCATGTCATTTTCATGCTGCTATATTGCTCTACACCACCTCTTCTTGGGTACCCCTCCTCCTTGTACATGATGTGGTGTACCCAGTATGCCCATAGTAGACCCTCATCTGCAGTTGTCCATAGAACAATATGCAACATGGTTTGCTAGGATCTTTTCACCATGGATTGTGCATGTGCAATTCAAGTATAGACACCAGACAGAAATTGCAGCAATCTGCCCAAATTTCTACTTTTTAATACCAATCATTCTGGCAAATGGTCTAAAGATAAACTGAAGTAATGTACCATGATTATGGAAGACACTGGACTGCCTGTCTTCCTTGGAAAAAAGAAAATGTCAACAGTGTTGAGGTTTATCCTGATAATAATCTGTTCAGTGAAGGATTGTACTGCTTCGCTATTAAAATAGGAGACAAATTAATATAATTTTCTCAAGAGTAATTATTTCCCAAGGTAAAAATTTAAATCTGAAGGCTTTTTTCCTTTATGGAATCAGCATGAATTATACTATTAAATTAAATAATTCTTTTAATAACTTTTTTTGTGGGTTTTTTAGCGACAACCTTTGCAGGAATATGTCCACTACATATAAACATTTTCAGCTTGTACAAATTATGTCTGTAGCTAATTCTATTCTCCTTCGTACATTTCTTCATGCAAAATGATCCTATAAAAACATGTACTCTGCCTTTAAACAAACAAGATAAATCTGAATTCATCAGAATTCAGATGGCTGTGACAAGGTGTGTATTTATGTAATACAAGATTATTCAGCATTATGTAAAGAATCATGCATAGAAAATCAACACTGTGTTCATGAAATAGCCCAACATTCTTTAACTGATGTGTTCTAAATTCTTTCTTTATGATTTTTAATTGGCTTAATTTTATTCATGTTCAACCCAAGTGCAAAAGCGTAAACACAGGTGAGAGACAGAAGGCTGACAGAGTGAATTTTTCAAGGAGCAGCAAACTGTAGGTGAAAATTATTACACTCAATCAGTAGCATGGTCCCAGAGAATAAAGATCCTGTCAAATGCTATTTGAGATCAGAGCTTTTGCAACATAGCTGTCCTTAAAGCAATATTAATATTTTATTTTGGGTGACTATGCCTCTGATTCCTGGCATTTATGCTATGTAGTACTCCAAAGTGCTGTTTTGTCCCCAGGGCTATTTAACATCTGTCTATCTATCATCTACCTATCACATTTATAGGCTGCCCAACTTATAGTGATTATGGGTGGTATACATGAAGCCAATGGAAGTTATCATCAAATGTTTGGGCCTCAGTTTCATCAATACGTTGATAGCAGTTAGTAACATTCCATAACTCCTGAACCAGGAGCACTTGTGCATGTTCTGAGTCAATGTCTAGATGCAGTGAATTAGTGAGTGAGGGCCAATAAACTGAGACTCAATCCTAACAATATGGAGAACTTGCAGGTAGATGAATAAGGGTTTAACTGTTCTCAGGGGAATTGTACTTCAGAAAGACCAGGTGCATAATCTGGAGATATCACTGTCAGTTGAGGCCCAACGACTTCTATGGTCAGGAACATATATCCACAACTTCAGTTGTATGCCAAGGATACCTTTTCCTAGCTACTATTATCCAGGCACTGGTAACCTAATGCTTTAACCATTCTATTATGCTGTATGTTGAGATACCTTTATTCTTGGTCCAATAGCTACAGCTAAAGCTGATGTAAATACAGCAGTCAGGTTGCTTAGTGGGGTCCCTGACTGTATACCCTCTCTTAAAGAAACTCTATTTTTTATGCCAATTGCTTATTGACTCAGATTCAGATGGTTGCTTATGAGATGTAAAAACATAAATAGCATATTTGGTCCTAAACAACCAAGACACCTGATTTACAGTCTTCACCATTTGAAATTGATCCATCACTGAGATCACCATGTAAGGTCATCATCACTTCAGGCAAGTTCTCCCTCTGAAATAGTTACTCCCTCAGGCAATACTCTCCCTCTGAAACTGTGGAAGTATCTACTGTTTTACTTCTTGAAGACTTAAAGGCCTCTCTCTTCAAGCAATCTTTCTGTTACAAATGTTGAATATCCTGTTTGCATGTGTGTGAGAGAAAAGAGAATAATACTAATAGCAAATGATAATAATGCAGGCAAAATCTCAGCTTGTGTCTTAGCTATGGTATACAGTAGCTCAGTGTTTCTCAACCTTGGCAACTTTAAGATGTGTGGACTTCAACTCCCATGCTGGCTGGG